TGGCGCCGGGCTGGCCGGACCCGCAGGCCGCGCTCTGCCCGCCCGCAGCCCTCTGGGCACTGGCCCCTGCCTGCAGGCGGGCACAGCTCTGGCGACAGTGGGGCTCAAGGACACACGGGTGGGGGCGGCAGGCGCCCAAGTGCCCAGGGTGGGGCCCCTGGCGGCGTTCCCCGACGTGGGCCGGGAACGCGCGCTGCCCGCGGTCTCTGTCTCGGCGCCGCGCTCCTCTCCAGCTGCCACCCAGCCCCCCACCAGTGAGAACTGGGGCGCCGCGAAGGGGCGCCCCTGGCCTGGGTCCACGGCAGCTGTGGGAAACTGGCAGAGCGCGGGCAGCAGTTCCTCAGTCCTCCCCACCACCCACTGGGCCAGACCCAGAGCCCCTGCCAGGGGCTGCGCCTGGGCGGCAGAAGGTGAAGTGCGGCACCTTCCAGGGCCCTGGGAGGACCCTCCAGCGCCGCACCCCCTGCCCCCTGCTCCTGAGCAGCTATAGTCCGAGCACCCCGGCCTGGGGTCCTCCGCTTGGGCCCCTCGTGGGGTCCCAGGCACCCCTGACTGTCCCGGGCTGCCTTACCCGCAGAGATGAGGCCCCCGCCGGCCGCAGGGCCAGCCAGTCGGGCCTCCCTGAGTCAGCCTGTGGCGGACGGCAGAGGAGCTGCCCGCTGGGACGCAGGCCCCCCGCACCCTGGCCCTAAGCCCCTGCCCAGTCCTGCCCAGCAGAAGCAAGGCCCCCCACGGCGACCCGGGGTTCCAGGGGAGCTGGAAAGGAGGAGAGCAGCCGTCAGGTCCGGAGAGCCTGGCGCCTGGGGAGAGGACAGGAGAGAGCGTGAGGCGGTTACATGTGCGTGGACTCGGGGTGTGCGGCGTCCGGCTCCTGCAGGCACGCGTCCCCCGACTTGCCGCTGAGGCGGAAGGGCGCCAGGCGGTGCAGAGTGCCGGGCGAGCAGGGCAGCTGCACGCGGGCCCTCTGGGAGGGCACCACCGTCTCCCCGGGAGACAGCCAGGGGGGGACCCTGGCGAGGATGCCCAGGTCCTCGTCGGGGGAGAACACGGGGTTGTCAATCCCTAGGAGAGAGGGCGGCCGAGGGTCAGCCCGGCCACGGGCGTGCAGATGGCGCCACCGGTCGCCGCCGGAGCTCACCTGCAGGTCGGGCCGCCGGGAGGCGTCAGGCCTCCCCCCACGCCTGCCCCGCTGGGCCTGCGGGCCTGGCCACCTGCCCCGGCCCCGTCCGGCTGCTGGGCAGGGAAGGGGTCGCGCCGGACGCCCCTCCAGGCGGGCGGCAGCCTCCCAGGGTGGTGCTCTCAGCACCTGCTCCAGGGGTCCAGCGCGGGCCAGAAGCTGTCACGTCCACTCACCTGAGGGGGAGTCGGCCGTGGTGTCCTGCGTGACGCTGGCCAGGAACTCGATGCCCCCTCTCGTCTCCTCAGCGGTGTCATCAGGGGTGTCCTCTGGCTCCGAAATCTCCAGATCTGGGCAGGGTCGGGCAGGAGAAAAGTGGCCGGGGTGCCGGGGCCCGCCCACCGCCTGGCGGTTTGAGTGCCCCCTGGGCAGGCTTGGACAGCACCAGGCGTCCATGGGCGGTCAGGAAGGGGCTGGGTCCCTCTCCACTCACACCTAGCCTCTGGGGGGGAATGCCCTGGAGGGGGGCTGGCCGCAGGGCGGCAGGCGCCCAGGAAGGGGGCACGGGCCCTGGGGGCCGGCGCCCGCCCGCGGTACCTTTCTCTGCGATGGTGAGGTTGTGCACCGGGCTCTCGGGCGGCAGCTTCCCGTTGGGGATGCTGCTGTTCCTCTGGGGAGAGAAGGCAGCTGTTGCAGGCGGGCGCGGCTCGGCCCGGCGCCTGGGCGGACCCCAGCCCACAGGCCCCTCCGGCCCGGCGCCTCACCCGCTTCTGGGCGCGCTCCCTCTTGTACAGCTTGGCCGCCTTCTTGCTCTGGTGCAGCCCCAGCTTGGCGGACTTGAAGGACTCCAGGCGCTTGCGCATCGTGCGGTGGAAGATCTCCTTGTCCTGCTTCTCGTCGTCGTTGGTGGTCAGCTCGTGGCGGCTGTACAGGTGCTTGTACTGGAGGCGCGCGACGTCATGCGGGCGCCCCGGG